AAAAAAAAAAAAAAAAAAAAAAATTGACGGAAGAGCGAGGGAACAAAGCCTGCACAAACTTCGCTCTGGCATCCTTGTTTATACTTGTCTGCGCGTTTCATTTTTCGAAACTTTTATTTCCCAACTAAATTTCCGTCCTTCGTCGAACACAATGGTCATTGCAGTGCTAAAAATGGAAATGGAAAGAAGAGAGAGAAAAAGAAAGGAAGGAAATTCTGAAACTGATTTCTACACGCTACTTTTAATTTTCACGAACGTTCAAGCGGCTTGAGGCTCGAGAATATAATGTTCGTTCATTTTTAGCATTATCGTGGCATTATCAGTGCACGTGATAACACTTCCAAATATACATATATAGGTAGCTACGTGTTGCCCGCGATACATCTGTATCCCATCGAAGACTATGCAAGCCGTTATTATATACTAATTTAGTTCAAGGTTTTGGATGATACGACAATACGACGAGGAAAGAACGAGCGAATTTCACGAACGCTCGAAAAATTCTTATCTCGGAAATGCTCGATATGCATGTAATACGTACACGCTATAGATAGCCTTGTAAAAAGAAAGTGGCGTCGCATCATCTTTAACCGGAGATGGATTTGACTTTGACAATGCTGCTTTCGAATGACGCCTAAAAATATCGCGGTATGCGCATATCTGTCCATGCGAACCGTGCCTGGAACAAATAATAATAATGGCAACGAAAATTTTAAACCGTGCATGGTCGCACGACCCGTGCAACGCCATATATTCCTCCACTGAATTGAACACGATATATGACCCGATTATGTCCAACCGTCGGTTAACAAGTATCAAGACTACGCATCGACTTGACGAAACCGGATTAGTGAATATTTTATAAGTAACGCTCTCTTGCAATATATATAGAATATGTAACACACACACACACACACACACGCACGCACGCACGCACGCATACATCGTGACGTACAAATTGTCAGATAATCAGCACAGAGGAGAAAGAGGTTAGGTCGAGAACGTAGATATTCTTCTGAAAGAACCGATAAATAAAAGAGGAAAAAAAAAAGCAACACGATTGGTCAGTGATGGTGGCGCGAAAACCAACCTTTTTCGTCAAACTAAGAACGACTTAACTTTCTCGAAGGATAACGCCTTCCCGTTTCCTTTCTCCCGGACGACCGCCGAGAGATGGATTTACGCGGCGCC